AGACATAAAGGTCGAGCACTTCGCGATGACTCGCGCAAGTTTATACACCTTAATTTCGAAAGGACTTTATTCTGTACTATTTCTACCTCGAGTTAAATATCACTTAACGACATTCAGCTGATAAGACACTAAGTATATATGTGTTCGCAAGCGATCGACGATAAGCGTGAATCACCTCTCGCGATCTCGACCGTTTCAAGGATCATCGCTGCGAGTAAATTCAATTGGCTACCAGTCTAGGGACTTTTTTCGACGTTATCCAACAGAACAGAGAAAAGAACGAAAAGATACAATTTATTCACGTCGATTTCGCAGGAACGGTGGAGTGATCCGCGAAGTCGTTCGTGTTTCGAAAGAAAAGAAGGCACTACGATCGTTCCAGGACGAATGAAATGCAACGAAGGGAAAGTTTCAAATTGATCTGAAAGACGATCGAAAACGTGAAGTCAACAGTTTTAACTGCGTTATCTTCTCCGAAGAATTTCATTTTAATTCAACTTCGCGAAACGTATAGTTAAATAACATCTAACGTTAATTGCATAAGTCAGTAAATAAATTTGGGGCACGAAACAGGTTAGAGTGTTAAAAAGAAACGGAGCGATGCTACATAATTCCTGGCGTGGAAGATACTACATGCTAGTTGTGGATTATTACACGAAATTTTCGAATATGTCGGAAAATAAGGTTGGAAGGCGGCTGGGGGATGAACTTCCTTTGACGTTCGAAGCTTTCACTGCGAAAGCGACAGCGAATGCTGGGAAATAATCATTACGACTTATCAAATGCATTGTTAAGAGCACTTACATTCGCGAAGACGTTACTTTCTGTACAAAATCCCGACAGCACCGCGAGAACAGCGTCGCGAGTCTGAAGGAACCTTTATCGGATAAGTCTGTTCCATATTTTCTCTCGTTTTCCTTGCTTTTTTTTGGCTTTTTCTCTGGGTTTCTTTGATTTCACGCATATCCCTTTGAGTATATTCGTTCGTGAAACATATTGAATCTCGTTTCAAAATGCTACGCACAGTAGAAGCGCGTTTATTGCATCGTTTATTTAAGTTACACTTGGAACTCCCGATACATTTTGTATGGTCTCTGCGTGTTGTTCAGCTCAGTCTCTTTGGCACTGCTTATTCTGTTTGCTGATCAGGTCATCGAATAACTGCCCCCACGTGTACACGGAGAGAATTGAGAAAATTTGTTACACTTTTCGATCAACATTCCTGGCCCTTCCACAACACGATTAACAAGAAGAATTCGTCGTAAAATTTCACTGTACGAAACGATTACAGTGTGAATCAAGATATGCCACGTATTTAGTTCTCTGTTAGTCTCGTCACATTTCAAGTACGATCGAATTCATTCTGGTTTAATATACATGTTATTCTGAAAGATTAATTTCCTTAGTTTCTTTTTCACAACTGAAAGTAGTTTCGTCGACTGTGTACGAATAACATGGCGGCTGAAGCGTTCTAGCTTCGTATGGAAACTGACCTATCCACTCTGTCGAACAATTCTTTTTTTCCCAATATCAAAAAGATAGTAACTCGGTTCAACATCGGTTGAGAGAGGCAAACTCGCAATGTTATAAATAGTGTTCACTGAAATCGAGTATCGTTCTCTTATGGGCCGTACAATTTCGTCATCGCTGGTTGCCAAAGTGTATTCAAATTTTTGGCTTTAGAATTTATGTTTAATATTTGAAGAATGGCTTTCGTTTGTGGATTAATGGGGTCTCGAATTAATTTGGAAACGTAATACAGTGGCGGCAAAAGGGAATACCGCCTTTGTAAAGCGAATAAAGGAAAATTGATCAATCGGATTGCTGGACCGGAACTCACGTATAGATCGTCCTTTGTTCTTTTTTTTACTGAACCATCGTACACCGAAGTGGATATGTATGGCACAGTATGACAGTGTTGAAACGAATCCCTGAAAACTCTTATTTGTTCTATCGTCTCCGCGTTTTCCGTCTCTTTTTTTTAAATTTTGCAACTCAGCAACGAACAAAATCTCTGACCAATTTTTAGATCGTTTTGTTTTTCTTCCCGTTCCTTCGGCATTCGCCTGGTTTTCGCTACAAAATGAGAGAGAAGTAGAAAAAGAAAAAGAAAAAGTAAAGAACGGTGAGTGTAATGAATGAGAATAAAAGGAAACGCATAAATTAATATTTCATAATTTTTATTACATACTTTTTTTGTAATTGTTTGTAAATGCAAGGAAAAAGTGAGCAAAAAATAAGATACCTATATTAATATTATCTACAAATCGGAGCGTAGTCCGATTCATAACAACGAAATATATTAACCAATTCCTGTACCTCTTTAATTACAACCCATGTATTCCGACGTATCGATTTTACAATCCTCGATTTATCTATGAACACACACACGATAGACTTCATAATCATTAATATATATTTATTATATATATATATATTCTTCTTTG